GAATGCCCTCCCTATCAGGTTAGACAAGGAATTTTAAGACACTTATAAAAAGATGCGTTCTAAGTATAACGCAATTTTAAGCACCAAGCCATTATATGCTTGTGGGACCTCTGAGCAGAGTCAAGTGCTGGCCTTCATGTCAGGGCATGTGAGGATGGGGGAGTCAAGTGTGCCCCAGCCTCTTCGCCCCGCACTCAGGTTGCCTTGCCAAGGGATTCCGTTGATGGGCTCCATCAAGTACTCAAGTGCAAACCAAGAGATAACAGCAGGGACCACTGGATTGCAAAAGCAGGGAAAAAGCAACGTGACAGTACTGCTGTACCACAGAGGACAGTTTACGTGCCATTTATATTTCAATGGATATGAAATAACATAAAACCTTGAACGTGGCATAATGGTGCAAATACTCATAACTACTGGGTTGCCCCCACACTGATCCGTATACCAAAAAGACTGAGGAACAGAGTTATACTTCCAGCTAGGTGGATCATTCTGTTGAACCTAAGTCGATTAGCTGGGGCACCTATTCTGCAAGTTAACAGGAAGAATAGAACTAAGATTTTTAATTCCTTATTATATGGCAATGATAACCTTGAATGGCAAGATTTCTGACACTTATCTTTGAAATAATAACTCAGATTATATTTTAATAGATTATATACAACATAATTTTTGTTATTTTAAAATTGAAGGCTTACTAACCCATGAAAATACTAAAATAGTTGTACTTATCAAAAAACTATGAGCCAGGAAGCAAAAATATACAGCTTTGCAGGTTTGCTCTATTTGCTTAAGGTTTAACGCTATTAAAACTGTTAAATATATGTATGTTAGAAAACAAGCACAGCAAGAATTACAGTATTCTGTCTTGTATATCACCTTCCCAGAGTGCAAATTCACAGTCTGATGCATGATTAACATTAGGGGAAAATTATTCATCTGATTACTAGCAGGAGAGAGATAAAATGAACACAATCTATTGCTGCATTTAGCATTATAATCACAAGATGAATTTTTACAGATATATTGCAGCAGGGAATACTCCCAGTTTTACACACAGGAATTTCCTGAATCTAATATGTCATTTCTTCCTGGCAAAGTCTGTCCTTTGTCTACATACATTTCATTTTTCCCAAACAGAACAGTACTAAGCTACATAAGTGCTGGACCAACTTTTGCCAGACTTAACTACTGTATATAGTAAAGCTTTAGTAAAGCATTACATCTTATTATCTGAAAGGTGAGCTAGAGGAGCACCTTAATCATCCTACCAGTTACAAAGGACATTTCAAAGCCTACAACATACCTCATTTTAGAGCAATTCACAGTAAGATTTACTCTTGAAGATTCTATTTTTTACTTTGCTTTGTGAAGATAAATAGAGTAACATGTCCTGATGGAGGGGAACTCTATACAAGGGCAAATGTGAACAGGAGAGGATTTTAAGCACATAGCAATCATCCTTTTAACTGTATTTTTCCCATGCCTTTCTGTATACTATTTTTGACAGTCTTACAAAATTTTAGATCAGTACTCCAGACCTTATTTCCATTATAGTCAATAGTCTAGAGACTTCCACTACCATCACTTTTCTGATGAAGATTAGACTTCCTTTCACTTCTTATCTCGCACCTCAGTTTTGCTTTATTCTGCAATGAAGTCTTATCTAACTTCATTATCTACCGTTGTAAAAGCAACCGTGCTGCGAAAAATGCATCTCTGCATTGTACGAATATGGAAACGATAGACTTGGAGAGCAGGAACGCGAAACAAAGCTCTCAAAATTAGCAAGCAGCAGCATGGAAAAATACAATAAATATTTTGTTTAAAATTATTCTATGCTATTTAGACATTTCTACTTTATGGAGAAAACCTCTTCCATCCCCAATGCCAAGCACTGTAAACCAGTTTTGGCTCTAAGTGTTTCTCAGGATTTTAGAGGAAGGGAATCTACGACTGCTATGACAAACCTGGGCTGCAGTAGCAATGCTGGTCCTCCATCATGGCTCCACAGAGCTGTGGAGCTCCACCTCTGCCTAGCAAGTACTGGGTCTTTTCCTTACCAAATTGTTCTTCACATTCAGCACCACTTCATGGAGACAGAGAAGCCCTGGCCTGCTGAGCTCCTGTACTCTCTGGAGATGCCCAGACCTACCATCCGAGTTCAGCATGATGAGAAGTTGCATGTGATTTCTGCCATTGCCGTCAGCTGATGCCAGAGCACCACAGCTGAGCACAGGGCATATGTGGTTCATCTGTTCGCAGTCTGTCTAAATTTAAGATTCACAGAATGACTGTCGGTTTGCACTGAGCAACTCATGGATCACACATGCCGTTACTCAGAGGTAACAGGTTCAACATTATATCTGCAGTTCTCACTTACTTCTCTCAGGCTAGTTGCCTGTAATATTCAGAAAAAAGTTAGGCATCCCCTCAAAATCAAAAACATTTGATTTCAAATACTTGTGTTGTTATCCCAGTGCTCTGAAAATGATGTACACTTTAATCCAGTATGTAGGCAATGCATTTGCCATTATTTTTATTTACCAGCCTGGCCACGATACCACTTTCCAGAATGCATGCCCAAACAATGAAGATTTTTGTGAGCATAATATGTTCAATAATTAAGTACAGCTAGGTCTGCTGCTTAAAATTGCAGATCTTCTTTTACAGTATTTCCTTTTCTGAGTATATTTACATACTACAAAAATAGACCTTTAATTTCAATAAATTACAAACTCTTCTACCGTATTTTGTAACGGAATGGGGGCATTTAAATATTTTCAAATAATCTTTCATTACAAGGTTATGATTTCTCTCACTCTTATAGCTTATAGCTATATCTGCTTATAGCTATATATGCTACTTATAGCTTAATTTGCTCTACAGATTAAAAACATGCACAACAGAAGTGAGTTTTTAAATAGCATTCCTCCCATTTTAGAAGAGAAGTTTGGAATTGCTTCTTATATTCCCCTGCCTGTTTGTGGAAAAAGGTGTGCAGCTGAGGTCCCAAGTATCCTGATACATCACAGCCCTTGCATGTGAAACGCTGCTTATGGCAAAAGGTACAAGCTTCACAACACCACTATGAGGACCTGGACTGCACTTTCAGAAATTTTTATATTGAAACTACATTCTCACATTTCTGGTTGAAATACTTACTGCTTGCGGATAATGAATTTTCATTCAAACTTGTAAAAATATTTTAAGCTTCAATATATTTATGCAACGCTACGTTGAGATTGCACTGCACTTAAACCCAAGCAAAACAAGCCCGCAGCTGCACAGTCAGTTCATCAAACAGCTCTTTGGAAAACAAGAATTTCATTTTTCATGATTTTGCTGAATTCAAGATTAGAAAGCTCTTAAAAAAAAATCTTTTACTTCACATGGAAAGATCTCAATGGCAGAGAAGTGTTGCTATGTTGAATTATTCCCACACAAGATTTACGGTTTTCAAATATGTAAATGTCTAAACCTGGACAACTAAATCCTCATTTACTCTCATAAATTATTGGGCTGGATTTTAGACATTTTGAGAACTCTTAATTATTACTACTGCCAAGGAAGAACTTTGTGTGCGCTCCTCTGTAAACCAAGCCACTTGATTCGGTGATGAAACATGACACATTGTCCACACAAAGATGCCCTGACTTCTGAAATTTATTGACGAAGTCTCTGGCATTACTAGATGCCAGTCAAAATAATGATTATTAACCCAACTGTTTGCTTGATTAGCAATGGGAAAGTGTGAGCTGCAGCCAGCATCCCATTACTCACTGCAGTGACACTGATGATGCGTACTCCATTATCAGTATTTCGGAATACACATGCTTTGCCTAGTCAGTTTAGACAGAAATGGGACTGTTGTATTACACTGTCTTGAGAGGAACAAAAATGATTTTACCTCTAGCTATTCACTTTTATATGTTAAATACTGTTCTCTGTCTCACCTTTCCTCTTGCACCTACTGTAACCCCCCTCATCTCAGACCCTAAAACAGGAGGATCACAGCTACAAGCCATTTTGAAGGTCATCTCTAACTTCAGAGTATCTATTTCTCTAGGACTGAAAGAGGCTTGGTGTTAGCGAAGTATAAAACATTTTCCTTTTGCTATGCAATATGTGCGTACAATAACTCAAAGAACAGGAAATATTCTTGTTAATACAGCACCATCAGCAAGGTGCTGACCAGTCTCAAATCATTGCATACGTGGGTATCTGCAAAGTGAAGCTTACTTGAAGTTCATAATATTAACGAAAGATGCTCACGGGCTGCTGGAGGTTTCCAGCTATGGAAAAATGTAAGAGGTTATGGTAGGGCCAGCCTCACCATTGAGAGAATCTGTTCAAGAACACAGGGTCATTTATCTGGGGTTTATGTTACTGACGTGACAGAAGGGACATCCTGGAGCCAGGATGCCACCGTTTTGCAAGCGGTGAAATCGGTACCAGTCGAACAGTATTCAACCATAAGGCCGCCTGCAAGGCTTGAAGTCTTAAGCTGTTACTTCTCCTTAACACGACAATCTACAACTCTCTCTAAAAGCATCTAAAAAGGTAGAACGCACATTCCACTACCGTGCTCATATTCTTTGCCATTTTGATAATGAATAGAGCTGCTAAAAATCAGCTGCAGCTGGCAGAACTAACACCTGAGACAAAACCAGGGAGACATTGGGCTTTTTTAATTCTCGCTTATGCCCGAGGAAATAGTGTATATATGGCTCCTTGCCCATTCACTCAAATGCTTAAGTCACACACCTATGCCTCTGGAGATGGGTGTTTGTGTGTGTGGGAGGCAATGCACAGGGATGAGGTGAGGTCTGGCAGGCAGCACCATGGCCTGCCGAAACCTCAAACCACACTTCATGTATGCAGTTTAGTGCAAACCCAAACAAGTGTCCAGTCCATTTATGTACCCAAACTCTTGCTTGCCCGATTCCTGTACTAAAACCAGGACCCCGCTGATCAGGACACCTGCCCCATTTCCTCACCTGACCACGTTGGGGTGCTCGAACGTCTCGAGGTGCCTCAAAACTGCCACCTCTCGGATGGTGGACAGCGGCATCCCCTCCTCGCTGGTCTGCACCCGTACCCGCTTGAGCGCAACAAAGCGACCTCCGTTCTTCAAGTCTCGGGCTTTGAAAACCTTCCCGTAGGCTCCTTCCCCAATCTCAGCCACACATTCATACTGCTGGTCAGCCAGGTTTGCGCTGTCCTTATCCATGCTGGCGCTGCTCCTCTTCCTCCCGTGCTCCAAGTGTCTTGGGGTGGCTCTCAGTCTCGCTTGCTTTCGGAAAACTAGTACTTCGCTTGCGTTGCAGATACGCCACGCACTTGGTACCTCTGCCAGAGGGGCAGTAGGAAGCTCTCGCCCTCCTGTTCTCGTTCCTCTTCTGTACAGGCCCCAATGTGCCTCCTCTTTCGGCCGCCGGGAATTATCATACAGTCTTTGGGAGCATCGTCTGTGTAAAGCCAATTAGATCTGGAGGACAAACCAAGCAAGAAAAGTGAGTTTAGTTTACTTCCTTACTTTGCATCATTTAAAAACTGAGAAAATTAAGCTGATATAGTAGCTAGCTACACGCGAAGCAAAACTGTGGTGCAAAGGAAGACGTGAACCAGCAGGGCGACACGTGGATCAACGTTCCCACATGGCTGATATAACGCTACACAGTTATCGCGGTCTGCACAGAAGGCTACAACACGCAGCTACAGAGCAAACACGTGCTGTGGGATTTTACTGCGCAACGGGCTGAATACGACGACCCTGCGAGACACGGATGATGGGCCCAGCAGAGCTAACTATGCGTGTGCGAGAGGAAGTAGCTTATGTCAGGATTGTAGGACTCAAAGGTTTCTTCAGTGCACATGGTGGGGTCTTGGAAATACATCCCACGCTATACTACTGTTACTTATTTGTAAATGATAGCACTTGGAGGTTTCAGCCCCGATCTGCCCTCCCCTGTGCTAAGCCCTGCATGAACAGATCGCAAGAGACAAGTTCCTGCCTCAAAGCGCCTGTGGGGAGGAGAAATACGTACACATTTAAAAGACGATAGTAACGTGTTACCGAGCAATGTGTGCTAGAGGTAGGTTCAGAAACGTACACTTTAGCAAAGTTATGAACGTGCGAGGGTTTTGGCTGTGGGTACTGCTACCGCTGGATGTGTGACTGGCAGCTCCTTGCAGAACAGCGTGATGAAAGACGGTCTTGAGGAACAGCACGCTCTGCCGTGCAGCGCATGAGGCTGGAGAGCAGAAGCGCTTCCTTCTGCATCCAGTTTCATCCACGCTTTCGGCAGGACTGTGGGCAACTCCTGTCCCCTCACAAAGCCCCACACCAATCCGCCCCCTTCCCCCTGCCCCTTTTCAGCAGTATGAGATTGCGACCTCCGGGGCTGCAACCCTCTCCTACGCTGCATTTTCAGCGTGCCAGGTTTAAAGCGCCCCAGACAGCTCAGCCGGGGACCCCCTAACTCGAATCCACGCATGAAGCCAGGGGTATTCCTTACATTTAAGCCGATCTTACCCCGCAGCTGCAGCCGAAAAGAGCGAACCAGGAGGAAACCTGTGCCCGCTGCTCATCACTTCTCCCCCGCTG